ACGCACTTAAAAATGATTTGAGAATATAGGCAAAGGTCTACGCTATATTCTCATATAATTTTTATTGACATAACCCTTGTAATTTAAAAGTTATTAAATATTATACGACAGAGTCTCCTATTCATCGTATTCGAGTATAGTCAACTCTTGTGAACAATTGCTAATATCTCATAAAGTACATCACGTACGCACTTAAAAATGATTTGAGAATATAAGCAAAGATCTACGCTATATTCTCATATAATTTTTATTAACGTGACCCTTGTGATTTAAAAGTTATTAAATATTATATGACAGAGTCTCCTATTCATCGTATTCGAGTATAGACAACTCTTGTGAACAATTGCTAATATCTCATAAAGCACAACACGTACGCACTTAAAAATGATTTGAGAATATAGGCAAAGGTCTATACTATATTCTACATGCTAGAAAGTGCAAAATTAATCATGCATATTCGGGAAAATGACGGAAAACCTTTACGTTTGTATACGACGAGTGTAGTACTAACACAAATGATAATTAATAACTCATTATTTACGACGAATTTGTGAACTTTTAGAGTTGAAGAATGAAGTATGGGCCTTCAGCAACATCCTTGCATAGTTTTTAGCACGTTAAACCTGTTTGATAATTAGTTATTAACAATCTTAGTATGTGATGTCGGGAACGATATCAAATACCGTCATGTATCTTTACGTTTTTGCAATAATTTCATAGCTTTCTACTAAATTCCCGCTCAAGTAACTATACGCGTCTGGAAGGTAGTTCCTTTAGCTACATTCTCATATAATTTTTATTAACGTGACCCTTGTGATTTAAAAGTTATTAAATATTATACGACAGAGTCTCCTATTCATCGTATTCGAGTATAGTCAACTCTTGTGAACAATTGCTAATATCTCATAAAGTACATCACGAACGCACTTAAAAATGATTTGAGAATATAGGCAAAGGTCTGCGCTATATTCTCATATAATTTTTATTAACGTGACCCTTGTGATTTAAAAGTTATTAAATATTATATGACAGAGTCTCCTATTTATCGTATTCGAGTATAGTCAACTCTTGTGAACAATTGCTAATATCTCATAAAGTACATCACGAACGCACTTAAAAATGATTTGAGAATATAGGCAAAGGTCTGCGCTATATTCTCATATAATTTTTATTAACGTGACCCTTGTGATTTAAAAGTTATTAAATATTATATGACAGAGTCTCCTATTTATCGTATTCGAGTATAGTCAACTCTTGTGAACAATTGCTAATATCTCATAAAGTACATCACGAACGCACTTAAAAATGATTTGAGAATATAGGCAAAGGTCTGCGCTATATTCTCATATAATTTTTATTAACGTGACCCTTGTGATTTAAAAGTTATTAAATATTATATGACAGAGTCTCCTATTCATCGTATACGAGTATAGTCAACTCTTGTGAACAATTGCTAATATCTCATAAAGTACGTCACGAACGCACTTAAAAATGATTTGAGAATATAGGCAAAGGTCTGCGCTATATTCTCATATAATTTTTATTAACGTGACCCTTGTGATTTAAAAGTTATTAAATATTATATGACAGAGTCTCCTATTCATCGTATTCGAGTATAGTCGACTCTTGTGAACAATTGCTAATATCTCATAAAGTACATCACGAACGCACTTAAAAATGATTTGAGAATATAGGCAAAGGTCTGCGCTATATTCTCATATAATTTTTATTAACATATACCATGTACTTTGATAGTTATTCGATATTCTTCCCATGCGTATTACACACGTCGCATTCAAGCGTAAAATATGTTCGTTATTTCCATAGGCATACGTGACTAATTGTGCACTTTAAAGCTTGAAGAATGTAGAATGGACTTTTATTTATATTCTGAAATCAGTTTTATAGCCATAAGTGATGTGGTTCAATAGATATAGGCAATTGTTTACAAGAGTTGACTATACTCGAATACGATGAATAGGAGAGTCTCCCGTATAATCTTTAATAACTCCTAAACTAAACCGAATATGTTAATAAAAATTACAAAAGAATATAGCTAAAGGACTTGACTTTCAAACGCATATAGTTAGTTGCATGAGAATTTAGTAGAAAGCTATGAAATTATTGAAAAACCGTGAAGGTACTTGACGGTATGGGGTATCGTTCCCGACATCCCGTACTAAAATTGTTAATAACTAATTACTGAAAGTGTTTAGTGCACTAAAAAGTATATGTGAAAGTTGCTAAAGGTCCACACTTCATTCTTCAATTCTAAAAGTTTACAAAATCAATGTAATTATTGAGTTATTAATGATTTTTCCCAGGCCGACTTGACTTAGCCCATGGGAGGTGGAGCTCAGGAGCCCGCCAGCCAATAGGAAACGTTTTCTCTCTATCCTTCTCGCACATTAGTGCTTTCCTTGTCTAATACCTCTGTTGACATTCTGTGTTCCTATTAAAAAGTCGTAGTTCATGTCACCAAACGCTAGATGGCGTTAGTTTCACTTGTGATGTAGAGTCGTCGTTGGGGAATTCTATAGTTCCCTAGGTCGCTCCCGATAATATTAAGTCCCGTTTACAGTGCTTAAACTTTATTTACAATAACTAATTCAAAACAGTACGGAAACCGCTAGGAATACGTAAAAATAGGAAAAATCGAAAAAATCTCAAACTTCGAGCGAAAATCAGAATATAATTGATTTATGGTGACGCTTAAAAACTATGTATGTATAATAATTCACGGGGATTGAAAATAAAAATATTTCAAATTTGCATATGAATTACTTTAATAAAATTTCTTACAAGCACATTTTGCAAAATTTAATATAAGGTTCAGCAACACTAAAATCTAAGATCACTTTATTGCATAAATGTATATCCATAATTTGTTCAAATCATGAAATCCAGTTATTATCCAAATGATATCTTGTTATTCATTTTGAAGACTTGTATCCTTGTGTCTGTTTCTCTGTAACATTTAAATAGACATTTTATGAACAACAATGAAAGAAAACAATTTTCATAGGATTATAAATTAACAATTATTAATATTTACATAGTTAGATAGCCGTTGTCTGTTCTTTGATAATTGTTCTTCATTTATATTTTTTGCTTCTGTTAAAAAATAAGGTGAATTATCTTGAGATTTCAAGCTTGTGCCATTATGTTGTACATCATCAGAGTACAAAATTGTCTGCTCTTGTTCATGAGGAGCTAAAGTTACTACATTGGTAGAAATATCAACAGTTTTGTCTCCCTTCCACACTTCAAGTAATGTTTCAGAATTATAAAATGGATATAATGTATAAACAAGTGACCATGGATATTGGTCTGAATACTCATAAGTATTAGCTTGGCTTAGTACTTGACATGCACAAATAATTATGCTGAGTATCGTCTATGAAAATAAAATTTGTATAAGTAATAAATCAATACACATACACATTATTACTTACAATTAATGGGAAATACATCTTGCTACTGTTTTCCAGTACTAATTGCTGCTTCTTGGAAGATCTGTCTGAATTTATACTAGCTCTACCACTTTAAATACTCAAGCATGAACTTACATTGATAGATTATGCATATTGAATTTCAAGGTCTAAATTCTTAATACATCTTAGGATTATACTTATAAAATTCACTTAATATTAACACTAATATCATTAAATAACAAAAAATATGTTACAAATGTAATAATTATAAGTTCAATAATTTATAAGCATTCTTTTATTAATTAATATACACACAAAAACAATATATAATTATAAACAAAAATTTAGAAGCTTTATCTTTCCACTGTCTCTATAGGTATTACATTGCAACCCAGAAGACCATTACCAACCCAAGGACGTGGTATTAAAGTCAAGGCTATGATATTAGATCCACGTTTAATTTTTACATTAATTGGCTTATATCTGCTATTTTGTACCAAGGTTCCAATATCTTTTAAAGATTTGAAATTTCGACAATCAATAGAACCAAATTCCAATATAAGATCATCAACTTGGATTCCCTATATAATTTAACATTTAATAGAATATATTTTTGTAATAAAATTAATATAATATTTTTAAACTTTTAATGTATCATAGTAATTTAAAATATACTTCTTACTGTTATTTCAGCTGGAGAATCTGGAGATACTAAATTTACTCTTAGGAATGGTTCCAACTGCACACTATCTTGAGTGCTATTTGTTGCACTAGAATTTTCCACTTGATTTCCTGCTAGAGCATGTACTCTGTGCAAACCCTCTTCTATTTTCTCCATTAATGCCCTATGATCATTTCTGAGACCTAATTACTTAACAACGTACTAATAAGTTCAAATTATTAAAATTGCATATGTAAAAATTGCGTAGTAATTAGACGCACATATTATCCTATGTCTCGCATGTCTGACTTGGTAAACATCAATGTCATTTCGTGGATATCCTTCAGAGTCCACCAACGTATCATCCATGCTAACATGATTCTATAATTCATATAAATATTCGGTCATCTTTTCGAAAATTTGACACATCATTTTGTTTATAAAACAGATTATATTTTATCTCGATGACATGGTTAAATAAGCGTCCCGCACAAATTTAAAATATATTAATATACATACAGCATCTAAGATTTCTTTTAAATCCTCCAAATCTGATTCAATTTTATCTTTATCTTTCATAAGCTGAAGAACATAATCCTTGGCTTCCTGTAACTCCATGTCGACCACCATTTTTCCTTACAATGACATACGTGATAAATTGTCAGGCACGTACGAACATAAAGTGAAAAAGTACTTTCAAATTACCATAAATGTTACAAATATTTTATAAGTAATATACATTTAAGACATTTGCAGTTTTAAAAATAAAGCTTTCAGATATCGTGCTTCATACACAACTGTTTGTTTGCCTTGTGGAGTACTGGAAAGTATATCTTGCATATCGAAAGGTTGTTCCACTACTGTTATCACGTCCCTTCCGTAAACTAAAAACAAGAGAATATAAGACTAAAGGTCAAAAATATACGAAAATTATGTCGCATGAAAAATAGAAAATACCTTCACAGTGTTCTAGAAATTGTATACATTCCTGAAGCGTAGTATCTTTTAAAACTACTAATTGTTTGGCTAATTGTTCTAAAAGAGATAGGAAACATCTTTTTGCATAAAACCAAGTATCTGTTCCTAATTTTTTATTATAGGGTTCCAAACTTTTCATTACTCTAGATATACCAAATTCGTAATTTCCTTTAGAACAGTACAACGTTCCAATTACTAAATTTACAATACATAAATGAAATAATTTTTTATCTTGATCCTCTCGTGAAATTGCTTGCTCTTCGTTTTCTATTTGCTTCATCAGTCCTTCAGCTTCCGCATTTTTAGCCGTCATAATATAACTGACACATAAATTAGCGAGTACTATAGCGCTTACATCTAAAATCTGAAATTCAATAATAATTAATAATGGATATATCGATTTATAGATACAGATCCCACCAAAAAGATCTAACAGGAGAACAACTAACATTGTCATATTTTTTCCTGACAATTGGTTCGTAGAATCCTGTCGCTTCTTTAAATTTATTTTCTTGCATGAAAAGGGTATGAGCTACATTTAATTTCCAGATATCATGTTCATTACAAAATTCCACACTTTTTCTGAATATTTTCTCGACTTGCGTGTAATTTCCAAGTTCCCAATAAATTCTAGCTTGTGCCATTAAAACTGGTACGTATCTTTCCAAAGCTTCTTCATAATCGTTTACAGCTTTCTTAACAGCATTATCATCGTGATTTAATCTTGCTTCCTGAACTCGTTTTGTTGCTTTTCGTAATATTTCCATATGTTTATTACCAAGATCGTCAAATTTGCGGTATGCTTCTTCTGGTGAAGTTTGTTGTGTAATCAACGCATCCAAAAAATCATATAAATACTAAGAAATAAACATAATTGCAATTATAATAAAAATCGGTGAATTTTATATGGGTATAAATTCTGTTTTTCATCTTTCGCGCCCCCAATTCGTATGCTTAGTACAGCCCTATATTTAAAATATAGTTGGCAAACCTAACCTTCAAATCAGATTTACTTGTCACTCGTTTGTTGTTATTACTTTTGCATAAATACATTAATCATATAATTAACAAAACAAAAGATTGTTGTCAAATTTTATTAGAATGGTTAATTGTAAATTAAACCAAATATTTCTTGGAGAAG